CAGTACTCTACCCTTTTGTTCTCAACTTTTTTCCAGGGATCATCAGCTCTGCCTTGCCCCTGGAGCACCTTTACAAACAGGCTTTGAATGGTAATTAAGAGCACCTGCTTCATTCTTCCAGGTGGTCTGACAGCATTAATTTAGGAGTATTGAGGCACCATGTCCAGAGCCTAGCTGCTCAGGGGCCTGGAAACTACTCCCTCCTACTGCTGGGACTGTAACACAAGTGTGTTTCAGGCCCCCCAACCACCTACACATAGTTTCGATGGAAGAATCCCCCTGCAGCTACCCAGTCTGTGGTACTTGTGGTACTCATTTCCCCTCTCTTCTCACCTAGACCAGAATGGCACTAGCTCTCTCAGATAGGAATTGGGGCAGGAAGCAAGGTCTGTGCAAAGGCAGGGCAGCCTCAGAAAAGGACATTCTCCATTCCCTCACACCACAGCCCTATGCTGTCTCAGGGTCAGGCACACACAGGTGGCTTGGGTCAGTGCATAGAAGTTCACTGAGTATGTCTTTCCTCCACCTTCAGAGCAGTGTTTCCACTTAACCTGAGGTAAGTTAAGGGCCTCAACACCCAAAAAGCCAAATCCCCTAACAGGGGGGATTTGCCCCTTTCACCCTTTCAAGGTAGCAAACTACTTCAAGGAGCCCTCGAGGTCTAAACTTTTTCCTTCCTTTTTTATTTTTTTCCCCTAGGCTTTCGGGGCAGCTCCCATTACCTTCAGTCCACACAGTCTCGCTGGAGGAAGCCACCCAGGGTTGTCCTCCACAGCCAAGCCCTCCCGAGGGTCCCTCGAAAAGAAGGAGATCAAGCCCAGTCCCCTTACAGCGCCGCACGAGCACCACAAAACCAAGAGCCACACAGCGACCGTTAACGGCCGCGCGCTATTTAAGCCCTGCGGCTAGCAAAGGCGCACCGGGGCGGTGAGCTGTCCGTTCTCAGCCCTGCGACAAACGGGTGGCTCTGGCCACCGGCGACAAATCCTGGGGTAATTTATTCATAAGCTGTAAAAAAAAAGAGCTTTCTTGCTTTTTGGGCAAGAAATATCAGGGCTATTAAGTGCCCTGAGCACTTACGCTGCTCTGAGCTTTCTTGGCAAGGCTGAGGGCACGTGGCACCGAGGGGTACGTGATGCTCTTCCCTTCAGGAGCACCGTGACGTGCAGCGGGGGAAATGCGGCGTCGCAAACAGCAGCACATACACACCGTTAGATGACAAGCGATTTTATTTTGCAAAACAATCACTATACAGCAACAAATACAATTGCAAATCGGATTGAAAAACATGAACTACCTACCACCAGCCATTCAAGAAACGCCTTTTATGATAAGAGGCTCTAGAATTATCAGAAATAAAAAAACACAGGTTTGTAACAGCAGACTGTATTCCGTAACATCCCAGCATACAGCATGTTTATTTGTCGGCTTTTTCTCTTTGCTAAAGTTGAAGTGGCTTTTTCCACATGTGAAACGAATTTGCCTTCCTGCAGTGGGAACTGCGCGAGCTGCAGGGGGATTTGCTTTAGCAGCTGTGCTAGAGAGCGAGCGCTGTGCCCACCCACGCTAAAATCCTATCTGCTCTGGGTGCGATCGCAAAAGCGACCTACTCTTCACGGCAGTCGCCTGTGAAGGGACATTTGCACTTGGTTTTCGAACGGTATTTGGTCCAGCGTGGCAAAAACAACTGCTCACGTGTGGCAATTCCACATCGGCCGCCTCGCGACTCCCTGCAGGTCGCGTGTATGGGCAAATTTCTATATGTGAGCAGCCACGATGAGGTTACTACTGTACTTTAATGTAGCGCTGAATGGATAATACCATTTGCTGCTGTACAGCAAAAATCTACATAGCCCTAATAGGCAAAAAATTGTCCTCATCGAGAGTAGTTTTACCTTTACTGTTGCTGGACAAAGGTTTGCTCTGCTTTGATTTCTTTTGGCTTGTGGTTACATAGAAAGAGAACTCTGCAGATGGGGCAGAAGCGCTGTTGCTCTTGTCTGCACAGCCTGCCAGACAGCAGTAACTTGAGGCTCTCCCCCTGCTACCCACAGGGGCTTGCCTGTCCCATCTGTGTGGATTCTCCCTGCGCTGTTACAAAGCCGGGCCTCAGGTACCCGGTATCCTGCGGAAAAGAAACACAACGGATGCAGTTTCTAGGAAGCTGGCTCTACCTTTAGTGGGCATTACGTATTTACAAAACTGTTGTTTTTCAAAACCAACACGCTGCTTGAGAAGTAAAGATTAATATGAGCTTTTCCAGTGAACATCTAGAGTCATGTAACATAACTTATTTTTTTTTATTTATTTAACAGCACAAAACTCTTGATTTCTTTTATTTTCATCTAACTCCACAGCACTCTAGGATTCTTTCTATGGAAGGATGATTACAATTACAAAGGTCTTTGCCTGAACCAGGACAAGAAAGCTTATTTTAATGCATGAAATAAATGACTTGGTGTGTTACACCCATCTAATTTCAGACTTGGTAGGTGTGTTAACAAAGCTTCATCATCTAGAGTACGTCAATCTTAAAAGCAGAATAAAAACACTTGAGTCACAGGTTAACGCTGTTCTGACTGGCTGCTGTCCAGCTCTGGAGAAGCTGGATGCTCAGGAGTACCACAGACTCTCCCACGTTGGCAAAAGGCATTAAAAACCACTGCAAGGCTAATTTTTGCTAGCTGGTGGTATGACCAGAGCAACATGATCAAAGTATTTTTTTTTATTTGTGTTTTTGTTTTGTTTTTCTGGAACAAGGGAAAGGGGCTTGTGATGCCCCTTGTCTGTCACGTGTTTCCACATGAACTCTTAGGCAATTACTCTAAGCAAGAGTACAGCAAATACAAGGCAGAAATCAGAATCTTCCAGACACACTTAGCGTACTTCTAGACTCACTGTCCTTCGTATAAGATGAATGACTTACAAACAGTATTAGGAACCTCAGAGTGTGAAAAAAGCTTTTTTTTTTTTTTTTTTTTTTCCTAAGCTGAAATGTCATGTGTGGGGCTGTTAGGAGTTCATCTTCAGCAAAAATTTGGGAGTTTTAACCATTTTGTCTTTATACTGCTGTGACAGCTTAGCTAAAAGTCCCACTCATGCCACTGAAGACCCACTGTTCAGTAACTGTGCATTTGCCACCTGAATCCTGTGCTATTAGTTACAAGAATCCTTCTCCACAGACATAAAAATCTTCTCTATGCATCTTTTCAGATCAAACCCCAACACACACACACGCATACATACAAATTAAGAAGCAAAAAGAACAGATCAAAAGCTTCCAGCACACAATGTTAACCTAACACATGGATCAAGTATAGCTCAACTGACAGTGCAAAGCTTAGAGGTTTCAAAAGGAAAAGATCAAACAATCTGCAAGAATGTAAACTGGTCATTTCATAATGTCTACTGTACATAATATCAGCAGATTACTATCTGCTGATGAGTAATACTACTATATTACCTTCAGTGTTCTCTTAGTGTCCACAAGATAGTGTTGGAGTTCTCACACGTAACTCCATTTCATTTGATGTTTATATATCTCTGCCCTTTACCTTTTATGAACACTTTATCTTATACTTTTTATAGTCAATATAAACCCCACTTCTTTGTTCAGTTTTAAGATGCCCTATTTATTGATTAATCCCCACGGCAACCCAGGAGCTTATTTTATTTATTCATGTACAATAATTTATAGGCATCTCTGCTATATTTATCACTGTTATTTGAGTGCCCGAGTGTTTATATAAGACATCACTGAAGGAGTGGAAGGAGTGGAAACAACATAATAATACTTTTTTTTCCTGTGTTTCAACTTTAGCAAAAGAAAAAAAAAAATAAATCTAACATTCACTGTTACTACAGGAGTTGTTTTTTTTTTTTTTTAAAAAAAAAAGCCCAAACCGAACTACTTTGGATTTTCAAAAAATCCAGAATTCAACCCAACCATCTTTGGAGACCCTCTTACAAGCTTCTGGACCCCACAACAAAAACCATTCTTGGTGGAGAAAGGGAGGGAAGGAGGGGAGGAAGGAAGGAATCTTTTTTCTAGCATCACAGAAGAGACTTGCATCTGGCACTAAAACAGGGTCACGGCTTTTAGTTGTTACAGAAAGCAACTTCATGCTAAAAGTTTTTGTCTTTTTAAATGTATTCTTATGAATAGGGAAAAAAACCCTGCTAACATCTACTTTTACATACCTAAAATTGCAACACCAAAGGGTGCAAGAGACACAGATACTGTGAATAAAGTAGAATATTCAAGTATATGAGGAGGGCATATCACAAATGGCCACAGAGAAATATATATATCTATAATACTGTATCAAACAGATGGAAAGGGTGTGAAACCGGTAGTGCGCACACACATCTAGCCGCTTAACCAACATTCTACTCAGACACAAGTCCATTGGGGTGGAAGTGCTTCCTTTCAACAGCTTTTTTACGTCACTTCCCCAAACATGGTTCAAGTGTTTTTCAACTACTATTTTTAGTTATTAGTTAAATAATTTATTGGCTTTTCAGCTATACACTGACATAATTACCCAGGCCCCAAAAAAATGTTAATAACTTAGTTCAACTTTTGTTCTACTCATTTATACAAAATAACTTTTTTTTTTTTTTTTAAGTTAAACTTGAATTTCTCTATATGCCCGACCTTCTGGTAAGCAGACTCTTAATTTAACCTGTAATAACTTACAATGGGCAACTTTTTCATTTTTTATTTTCCCATCTATCAAGAGAACAGCAACTTGGGATATTAACAAGGCTCTTCAGAAAGAGGTGGATGGCCTTCAGGCACATGGAAGGTAAAAATGCATTTTATCATAGTACAGTACTCCATGCAAGACAGAGCAGAGCAACAATAATTGTCCAATGTAACATACTGCAGTTGTATACCCATATAAAGCCAGTGTCTTCCTGTTGGAAATGGAGATCAGGCCAATTTCTGCATCTACTTTTTTTCCTGTTTTTTTTTCTGTTTTTTATTATTATTATTATTATTGTATGTTAACTACAAGTCTTGGGATATGACTTAGTTTTAGACATGGTAAAGGATGAATGTAACACCTGCTCTGAGCCCATTCCCGCCAAGAGCTCATGCCTAAATATTATTACTTCATACGATGCGAAATGGAGCAGATTCATAAGCCCTGCTTGGCGAGGGCGGCTGTGACGTCTTCAGCGAGGGTCGCGAGCTGGGGCGACTCGAGCAGGTTGATGCTTCCAGAGGACGAGACGTTGCTGAGCCTGCGCGGCGAAGCCACGCTGGACCGGCCCGGGGACTGCGTGATGATCTCGGCGCCATGGTCGACGCGGGCCTTGGCGTGCTCTCTGAAGTTGAGCTTCTGGCTGTCAATCTGTTCCAGGAAAGCAAAGAATTTAACACGGGATGGGAGGGGACTGATCTAAAAAGCCCTCGCTGACAGGGCGCTTTCCAGCGTTCCTTTCCAAGGCCAACATTCCTTTCCTTTAGGTGAACTGATCCTGAATAGGGCTCGCTCTTCTTCTCAAAACCAGCTGCTCAGCACCTGCCTCAGCAGTCAGGCAGCTCAGGTCTTTTGGGACCAGATCAGGACCCAAAAATTACTCACCAATTTTTTCCTTTTACAGAAGCCGTTATCAATAGCATGCATCATCCAGGCAGTACGATGCCTTATATTCCAACGTGCCATTCCCATCAATTACAGCTACGTTCAAGATTCACAGTGCACCAACTTAATTTAAACATCTAAGAAAGTATCTCCCACTGACTTTCAGTAACATTTGAGTTCTTAACTTCTTTACACAGAACTGAAAACCTACCTTCAGCTTTCCTCTCTGCTATTGAATGTTGCTAGAATACATTATCCATTTACTAAAATCACTTGTTACAGATCATTTTTTGGGTGTGATTTTCTTTCAAGAAGTCTTAAACGTATCAAAGGTTAGGAATTTCACCCTGCTTAATGTGCACTGGCTTATTAATGTGTTTTGGCTATGTTAGATCCTCTCTTACTGTTTCTGTCTTTGGGCTTTTTCCCCGAGGGTTTTTCTGTTACCTTGACATTACCACCGCCAGGTACATGGTGGGCATTTTCAAGGGAACCAACTTTAGCCTGTGCCTTTTCTTTGAAATCCAGCTTCACACTTTCAATTTTCACACGTCCGCCACCTACACAAAGAAAGGAAATAAAGATTAAGAACTGAAATCACCCAGGAGAAAGTCGGACACAATACACACAGGTGCATTCATACTATCTCAGTTGAGATGTAACGAGGTTAGACAAGCACCAACTACCATGCCCAATGTTACAGAAAATACAAAACCTTTGACGCATATTCAAACTTTTAAGTGTGTGCTTTAGTCCTACTGACTTTGATGTGATTTAGGCACATAAGTACTTTGCTGATTTCTGCCTGTGTTTCACCATCTTATTAATCTGACATTGTGCCCCAGCAACATTGTCTGTGCCATTACTTTATCTCATCTCTTAACTGGTGGTCCTACACGCGTCTTTATATAGTTAGGTAAGTAAAATTAAGAGTATCATTTCTATTATCGAAGTGTAGCTACTTTCTTTTGGACTATAAAAGTGAATGGTACCATCCATGCTTTCTTTTTTACGTACAAGGAGTGGGTCCTGCTTTGTCACATCCCATAAAATCCTACAATACCTGGCTTGTGGTGGATGTTCTTGAGGGAGCCACACTTTGAAGTCACGTGACTCAAATCTATCTTCTTGGTTACAATTTGTACCTGCCAAAATCACACATAAAATACAAAAAAAAAAAAAAATTACAGGAATGAAAAGAATAAGTAAAAGCCCAAGCCCGGCAGAAAAACACCAAAGTCTCTACAACCCACTGGAAAAGGAGAGATGGTTAGTGGAAAACAGACCATGCCACAAGGGAGGAAACACCTGGATTAATGCAATAAGCTTCCTTTCCACCTAGGAAGATGACAGCAGGGTTAAGTTTTTCCATTAGTAAAATGCAGAGGAGAATGAAGCAGACTGGGTTGTGAGTCCTCTTCTAAAATGTCTGTGAGCTGTCCCCTCGAGGTGGTGATTTCCAAAGCTCTGCTTGCAGCCCCCTTGGTCCTGCTTCTCAATGTGCCTCTGAGAAACAAGGAACAGTCTGGTGGCTGTTTCTTTCCTACCATCTGTTTCATATTTCTTTCCCCCATCTCGGTACAGTATGAATTTTCAGCTCAATCCATTTTAGAGAGCTTTCCCCCTCCCTGCATTAGCCTGTCTTTGCTAACGCAGCAGCCCCTCCAAGCCCGGCACACGGTCAGCGCTGGCATTTGAGGGGGCATCGTTTCCACCAGAGGGGTCAAGGCCAGCTTAAACCATTCAGACATGACTGCTAGTACTGATCAAACCCCAAGCAGCCTCTCTTCATTATACTGGAATACTAACGTGCCGGAGATACATTAGCACTCAGCACCAACCGATCATATCATCCCTCTGAGTTTGCTTTGTCCTTCTGTTTTATTTCTGTTTCCTTCCCCCTCCGACAACTGCACATGACTGACAAGATTAGCTGCAGAAAGACTGTGGCACTAGGAGACGCTCAGCCGTGCGGCTGGACTTTCGACGGGATAATTGGGACTTTCTGGAAACGACTCCCATTGGCACTGAACCACCTTGGCTCCCGCTGCGCTTCCACTGTCAGCATCCTTGGGTCTTAGACATGACCATTCTTGTCCCACTTCCTTTTCCTGGCCAGGTCCCAGGGGTGTGCTGTGCTCTGTGCAGAAGGATCAGAGAGCCACCACTGCATACACAAGACTAACACAACTACCAGACCAGACTCACATGTGAAACAGTAGCAAGGAGGAAAATAGTGCTCAGAGGAAGGGAGGCAGGAGTGGGGCTGGCTGTGCAAGGTGGTCACCACAGCGGAGGTGCCTGTTCATAGCACGTCTGTACTACTTACATTTCCTCCCCCTGCAGAATGTTTGATGTTATCTCTGGAACCACAGCGGGACTGAATATCACTAAAATCGATCTTCTTGTTTAAAATCCTAACCTAAAAGGAATCGGAGGTAACTTACTATTCACCATACACACACACCAAGCAGGGTGCAGGACAAGGGAGCAAGGCACTTTTGCCTCCTGCTGTCGCTCCTTCTTAACACTTGCACTGAAATATGAGAAAGAAAACCACGCCATATGTTGCTCTCTTTTTCTATCTCATGAGGTGGTGGTGAAATACAAAGGGCAACGCTGAAACAACAGCACCTGGAAACCTGTAGCTGCCAGGTGACACCGCTGCGGGACTCCTTTGGGGCACGGGGAGAGGATTGTGCTGATCTCAGGTGCGTGTAAAGGAGCCCCTGGCTCCACCTGCCTTCTCTGCACCAGGAGCTTTCCCTCACCCAAAACGTGCAGCCAGCTCGGCATATTCACTCCTCTAGGTTAAATACCAAGTCTTTATGCAAATGTTATGGTGGATTTTATTCACCCCTATGTTACTAACACACAGTGTAAGTTTATACTGTTTTTTTTCCCACACAAGCCATATAATTTTAGGCATTATGTATTCATTTTACTAAATGGCAATTCACGAGCTTTCACTAACATATACTTAGCACAGTTCTGTTGGCAGATGTTGAAGGTTAACCTGACTGATACTGAGATGAGAGAGAGGAACAGATTTGCAGGTACCTTCTGGCTTTTTTTTTACCACACCAGTAACAGAAATCAGCTGCAAACCAGCTGAAGCCATTGGTGAGAGGAAGAAGAACCTTATGAGGCCTCTACTTCCTGGCCTCAGTTTCCCAAACTGACCAAGGCTCCTTGCTAAGTGTGAAATTGCTTCCCCTGTGCCTCACCTCTCCAAAATATTTGCCTGCCTTACAGGGAGACCAGGATTTGCAGCTCCTTGCTCTTGCAGTGGTGCCAATGTCACATTCAAAAAACACATTCAGAAAACACTGGACCTTTCAAGCCCAGTCTAAACTCCAAGAACAAATTTTCATACTTCGCAGCTAAAGCAAAGAAGTTTTCCACAGTAAGGTGTTTCCTGGATCCCTCTCATTACAACCACTGTATCTGTCAAAACATTCGGACGTTAAGTGCTCCCTTGCTTTAACTGGGAAAAATCGGTGGCGACGGCAGGCTCAGCAACAAAGGTGACGATGGTGCCGGAAACCGCCGCAGCTGCTGGGTCACATCCAGCCGTTCAGGAGGGCATCGGAGCTTCTGAACCCATTTCTGTCTTTTCAATCGATGTACACTGACACATGAAAGTGAACGGCCTCTGGAGTTTTATGTTTGTGCTTTATCTCAAATACTGTGTGTTTCAATGATGCACCCCAGTGCTATACAGGACAGGTGTCACATCAGTTACAGAAATGCACATCAGATGCGCAGCCAGATCTGGTTCCCACAGAACTTTAAGTCAGACCACGCTGGGCAAAACAGAAAGCTTTCCTAGCACTTTTTGAGCACATCTCAGTGACAGATCAGCTGCAACTCTTAGCAATAGCCACAGGGCTCCATTTACTCTAAAAAATGCTGACTTAGGGGTCATGACAAGACCTTAGTGCTGTGGACTGGGGGCCTGTAGCTTAAAAAGGAAGCCAAAGCAAGGTGATGAGTTGAGAGGGTGCCTTTGATAAGCGCCCAAAGGTTGATTTGCACCCAGAAGTCTGACAAATTACAAATCTCATGGCCCATGGACCCGGCTAGCCGATATGTAAAAGAACAATCATCTCAATTATCCTCTCTGTCTCGCTGGGTGACATGTGCCCCTGTGTAGAGGGGCCAGCAGAAGACCTATGTATCACTTATGTCCTATGCTGAAGGCTGAAATGAGATCTGAGTGATGCGGATGCGCTGGTCATCCAGCATAGGGATGAACTGTACTGATCCATGTTCTCCCTGATTATCTGCATCTTCCTCTCCCAGAATATATCTGACTACACACAGTTAGATCACGACTGCCCTCTGTAACTGGCTGCTCCCTGAGCTATTAAAGCCTAGTAAATGAACTAGTAAATCTGATTGTAAAAGTCGGAGGGAAAGTACCAGGGAGGAACTATTTAAGCTGAAGAGCAACTGTAGCTTGCAAAGAGCGCAAACTGACTGTGTATAGTAATGCCAGATGCAATCTAGAGGAAAACGTGTAACTATCCAAGCATGGAGGCTCGGCAACAGCCTCCCAGGGGAACAGAGCTACAACGAGAAAATGGAAAACGTTTAGGATGGTGCTTTATGCAACAAATTAGATGATGCAGCTGCCTGCGACAGAGGGAGTGCAAACACCATGACTCACCAGGAAGGTCTCCATGTTCCTGTATATGTGTGTACATCTTGTGTGGGGGTGGAGGTGTGGTAGGGGTGTAGGTATAGGCGCTGTAACTGTGCTGCACATTAAATGAAAGATCAAGCCTGCTCACGCTCTCAGTCAAGAGAAGGAACGTTTTGCTCTGTGGAAGAAGCAGGCCTGATTTCTAGTCACCTCCACTGCAAATGCCAGCAGGTCGATCTCCCGCACAGACCTACGGGCAGACTCCCTCGCTCCCTCCACACTGGCCTGCTAGGCTGAGACAGGCAAGTTCCCTCCTGTCCATCTGATTCTGGATGACCAAGGCACATTGCACAGGGGCTGGAAGGTATTTTTTTGCCCAGGAGCCAGCAGAGGTTCCTTGTCATTTGTTTTGCACAGGGTGAAGTTAGGCTACGCTGGGAAAGCAAAGCCTAGACAGTAAATGCTGGGTTTATTCCACAAAACTGCCACAAAGATTGAGACAAGAACTGGTCTTGCATCAGAAATAAGGTAAATGTTAAAACCTGATCATTATCGAGAAGCATTTCTAAGCACTTCCAATATTATATGCTTCCAAGGACAGACACTACCATTTCTATGCTCCTAGTAGAGGCTACTTGCAGAGAAAAGGGAGGGAAGCCTATTTCTCTGGCCTAGCAAAGCCCCTGAAGAAAAAATATGCCTCAGACTTTGCACATCTACAAACAGAGCTTGAGATCATATTCTGATTTTGCACTGCTGGGTTTACTGGATACATACAGTAGCGAAGCTGCCAGCCTACCTGCTCGTAAGAGGTGAAACAAAAGGCTGCACTGGACACAGCATGGATAAAATGGAGTGTCCCTCCTCACCTTACTGCTAGCAAGGGTGAGGGCACTGGCACAATGCTGACCTTAAAAAAGGAAGCCAGGGCAGACACTGGGCATGTCATATTTTGGCCAGAACAGTTAAACTTTAAGACAATTCTAAGCAACTGAAAATAGATACTTCCAATACTAGGGCCCAGGTCGTCCAAGCAGCCCTGTCTTTAATACTCGTATTGCACAACGATGGCTGATTTACACCTCTCACTGTGAAGAACTTGCAGCCTTCTTTTTTCCCTTTTACAAATTACTCTATTTGTCAGTGGCCACATGGAACGAGGCAGGTCCCTAATAATGAAAAAAAAAGGTACTTCAGCAGAACACAAAAGCAAAAGGAGTGTTTTCTGAGGGCATCTCTGTTAAAGACTTGTACTTCAAAGAAATTAAAACATTTCAAAGAAATTGAAATATTAAAATATGAACTAAGTTCATATATATGTTATTAGTTGTCCCAAGTAGATAGATCTGCGTTAGATGATATTGCTTTCACTAAGTATTATATACAAATAAACATTTGTTTCTTTCTCCAAAATTAACCACAGGAAGAGAAACTAATATGTCATGCTTAAACCTAATAGCTGGCTCAGTAAATCTTGTTCTGGTTATACAGATGTGG